GCCCTGCCTCTAATGAACCCGTGTTGGTTGCCCCTAAGCATAACCTCCCCTGCTGGCCCCTCATGGACATGTGCCAGGATAATTCTCTCAAAAACCCAGGATCAAGGTAAGACTAACTGGCCTATAGTTTCCTGGGTCCTCCTTTCTCCCTTTTTTGAAAATGGGAACCACATTGGCCCTTTTCCAGTCCTCTGGCACCATACCAGAGTACCACGAGTGCTTGTAAAGCCGTGCCAGGGGTCCTGCAATGACCTCTGCTAATTCCCTCAGCACTCTGGGGTGGAGGTCGTCAGGACCAGCTGATTTAAATACGCCCAGTCCCTCCAGAAGTTCCCTGACTAGACCCTCACTGACCCTGGGCCTGGGTGCACCTCCCCTGGGGCCAGTATCCCAGAAAAGTGCTCCCACCACATGGGACCTGCTCTCCCTACTGTGTTGGGTTACATTTTAACTCACTGTAGAAACCATGGAGGCTGTAAGAGGCTCTAGACCCATTAGTCTTTCCTTTTTTCTGTAGCTACATGTTCTTGCCAAGTGAGGACTCAGGCTGCTTTGATGTTACTTGCTTCTGCTAATGTCGCCTTCTGTCAGCCTGTTGTTGATGGATTCTTTGATAATTTTTTCCAAGATCTTACCAGGGATTGAGATCAAACCGATTGGCCTGTAGCTCCTTGGATCTTCCTTCCTTCTTTCTTGAAGGTAGGCACCACATTGGCCCTCTTCCAGTCTTCAGGAACCTCTCCTGAGTACCATGAGTTGTTTGGTGGCAGGCAGGATCTAGTCTTATTTCCTTCTGGTTAGGATGTTTCATATTTCACACAAGAGTAAAAAAGTGGAATGCTCTTCTGGGCAGGAATTTCTTATGCGGTGAAGTATCTCTGGGCTCTTTGCTAATGCAAAATACCCTGCAGGAGCAGGGTCTCATGTTTCAGGTGGTAAAACTTGCTTCCTCCTTGCAAAATTATGAAGATTCCATTTCAATGAAATGAAATTATATGATTCTACATCCTGCCTGCCACCAAACAACTTCAAGGCAAACGCTTTTGACTGAGCCTAATCTGCATAAAATGAACTGTTCCAAATAGGAGATTTTACCACACTCTTTTCAACTCTCCTATGAAATACAAACTTTCATTTCTGCCTAGGAGAACTTTTACACTCTTTTCTCCTATGCCTGAAGAAGGGTACTTGTGTTCGAAAGCTTGCAAATAAAGACTTTTTTTTTGCAAATATCTAGTTGGTCTAATAAAAGATCTCACCTCTACCATGAGTTCCGATTCCTTTTGCCTTTAGACCAATACAGCTACAACCTGGATACCTGATACATGTAAAGATCCGCAGATACTTACTCTCTCATTGAAGTCATAGTGCAACTACTAAGCAGTGGTAATGTCAATGAGTTGATAAACTAGCCAAATGATAGTGTCAATGAAAGAGAATCTTTGTATTTCCTGTCCTGAAATGGGAATCCACCTTAGTAAACGCTGCTTAAATGCCAGAGGTTTCTTATCCTAACAATACTACTGGGGATGCAAATACCGCTTCTCAAAAGCACCTGCAGGGGTCTTCTGAGCAATTAAACCCTCCTTTTGTAGTGGCTCTGATTTCATGGTGTACTTTTTTCTGGGAGAAGGAAAGAAGATGGTGAAGGCTGTAAATTAAAGTCCAAGGGCAGCACAGTGAGGACTTCACACTATACCTGGTGTTACCGAGGTCTTTACCTTATTCAACAATGCCTGTGCCACAAAAAGGCATGAACCTTAGGTACTCTGAATAAGGAGACTTAAAAAACCTTTTCTTTCTTATGAATGGAGCCAGTGTGAAGAAAATTAAATGATTTCGAAAGCACACGCGACTTGTCCAACAAAATGTTTCTTTCTGTATCAATTCATGAGACAACCCACCTTAAAAATGTGTTAGTCCTGTTACCATTTTATCTGCCCCTTCCCCATTTATATTCTAAGTGTCAGCCACAAACTTTTCAGCTATAAAAGTTAGCCATTAATCACTTATCACTCAAAGCTGACATGCTGAGTGGCTTTCAGATAATACAACATATTGACGATCAAAGGGGTAAATCTCACAAAAACTGTTAGAAATGAAGTGAATGAAATGATTAAATTTAATTTAATCAGGTGACTCAAAGTTTGTTGCAAGCTGCACCCTTGCCATCCACCAGGTGAAAAAGAGTTCTGCCCTAAGTGTGTTGGGCTGCTGAGTGGTCGTTATTCTCACAGCTTGTTAGTTTCCTGCAGTTTGAGGCATTGGTGAGAAAGTGAGAAGCCTTTCGTGGAACACAGAGAAGAAACTGCAGTTCAGTAAAACATGTTCTTTTCTGTAGAGACATGTTCCTTTCCACCTGAAAGATGGGACAATGACTGTGAATGACAAGGTTCCACTTTGGAGAAGTTCTTTCTATAAACAGTCCCAACTCCAGACACCCTGCGTATTCCACTCTGGATTTCTAGGCTCAGATCCATTCTATTTCCAACCCGGTCTGCACCACGTAACCAGTTTTGGCCAGGTATACCAGCATGTTTCCATGCTGGAATGGTATGATTAAACTTGCAGTCCAGTTCAAGTTCTTTTGCCCAAGCAGTCCTCATTTCTGATTTGAATGGCTGTCCATCCACAATGCCATTAACACATATCTTCAGAGAAACTGCACTGCAATTTATAAGTGCACCAATGCATATGTTCTCTGGAATAGACATTTTTCTCAGCTTCCCCCAACTTGTGCTGTCAGGTTCAGTTCATTCTGGGTTAGTTTCTCGGTAGCAGAAGAATCCAGCTTCTACTGAGATAGTTTTTATTACTTTCCATTTTTAGTTTACAGAGAAGGTACATTTTTGGGCCTCATCTAGTAACCTCAATGAGACTTTGTGGCAGGGCACTGCTTGTGCCGGCCACTTTAAGGGCCTGAAGCCAGTAGCTTGGCGGGGGCCCAGTAGGGGCGGCCCTCTCCAGGGCTGCCCGTATAAACAGGGCATTTTGCTGCTGGAAGGCAGGCAACTACGTCGCCTGGCTACAAGGCTGCTGGTATCAGCTGGAGGTCAGGGCAGGCGCTGTTGGGGATGGATAGGAGGCTCCTGGTTTAGTTTACAAACTAAAACTGCACCCTGCCAGGAGTGGGTGGCCTGGTGGGGCTCCTTGTGGTGCAGGAGCCCCCCAGAAATGCCAGGCCAGTTACCACCCCAGTGGAAGGCGAGTCGGGGCACCTTAACCCCAGCTCCCACCTTCGGGTGGGTCAGGACATTGGAGGTAGAGGGGGCTAGGCATGGCTATGGCCACCTGAGCCCACCCGAAGAGGGAAGCCCCGAGACCCTGAGTAGACGGGGCACGTTGTGGAGCCCCGAGCAGAGGGGGTGTAGTGTGAGATCTCAGGGTAGCACCATGACCTGCTGCTCCAGGGGGGGGAGTGAGAGTCCCCTGTGAGACTCTGGAGCGCCAGTCATGGTGTGAGTCACCCCATCTCCCTGCATCCAGGGAGGGGGACCCAGAGAGAGTGTGGAGCTAGTGAGGCTGGAGGTAGGGTGCCCCCTCGACTGGCCCATGCTGGGGCCAGAACCAAGAAGGTCAAAAGGGCCAGGTGCCCACCGCAAGGGGCACCCAGAGCTGTGGGCCTGGGACCCGGCCTGGCCTTGGAGGTGAGGCCAGGGCCTGTGTGTGGCCGAAGGTCCCAAGTGGGGACCACGCCCAAGAGGGGAGCCAGCTACAAGGAGCTCAAGAGCCCGAATGAAAGCGGCGGAGGCCGCCTGAGCGGAGAGATCAAAGGAGGGTCCTGCCGAGAGGGTTCTGGAGCCTACTGTGGGGCCGGTGTGACTATTAACATCTGGATGCCATCTGCGAGGCTTGAGTTACAATGTAGGGGTGGTACGGAGCCGCGGACACCCCCAAATATGGGGGTGCAGTAATGGGCAGCCTCTCGACTTATTTAACAACGTATTATTCCAACAAGGTGTGGTGGACGAGACAGGTGGGTGGCATGCCCAAAGGCAAGTGGGAGGCTAGTTGTGGCTAGTGGGGATACCCATGTTGCCACAGACTCTTTTGCTCTTTTTTTTCTGTGTACCCCATGTCTCATGATGCCATGTGATTTTCCCAGGTATGAGTCATTGTGCTGAGTTCTGAGTTGAATCAATGGCACTTGTCTGCTGCATGACACTTGGATATCACCTCCAAAACAGCACTTGCATAATTTATAAACTTCCCTCATGTTTGCTATATGCTTTACATTAACTGTGTTTGGACGCACCAGAGATGCAAACACATACTGCTTGAATATGGGTTTTGGTGATGCTTCTGTCTTAAAATAAATATCCCATCTATCTGTGGTAAGATAGAATACTGACATGTACTTGTCAAGTTTTCAGTTAACTAGTGCTCAGATCCATATTTTCCTGGGGATATTAAGGAAGTAAAGGTACCTGAGAGTATGCATAGAACCTCCTGTTAACTTGGACCCATTTCTATGCCAATACCATCCTCCAAAGCTTAGACTCTTTCTGTTTTAGTGAAGCCTCAAACCAGCACATCATGGATGACACCCTTTTAAGAATGAAACCTGTACCTCAAACGGATGTCTTGCAACCTCCCCATTGCAGTAGCCAGAAAGCTGATTAGAAGTGGATTCTCCATTGCAGTTGACCTGCAGGCAGAGCAACATAAAATGCTCGTAAAAATGAAACAAGTGCAGCAGACTGAAATACAGACAGATGAGAAAGTTAAGAGGCTGCTCAAAGGAGAAGATTATGGAAATATAATCCACTACTGTAAATTGAAACTTATAGGTTTACCTCAACCAGATGAAAACCAGTAAGACAGACTGCATACAGCATATGGCAAGAATTTTTCACTGACCTGTATTACTGTTGGCAAAATGTTAATCAGTCCTCTCAGGTCATGGAGGAGTAAAAGGGCAGTTTTCACAGTGCTGCTGGTGCTTTTCTTCTCCACTTCAACCTTGAACTGCTCCTTCTCCATCCTGGTACTTACTCCTGCAGCAATTTTTTTGTTGAAGTTCTGACCAGAAGACATACCAAATCAGGGAAAGAAACAGACAACCACTGTTTTTAAAACACTAGCAGCTGGGAAACATGGAGGTGTTTTCATGTGCACAGAACCTGACTGCCTTTGCAATGAGTGTCACTGGTAGAAGGGACACTGCTCACACTTGCTCAGTGTGGCTTTCTTTTAAGGAAGGAATCTTTACAAAGGGCTGGATCCTACCGGGTACTAAACACCCTTGGCTCCTTTTAACACTAGTCTTAAGGCACAGGTCCCTACATCTTGACTGATTATAACAGTTACACTAACAGTGAGTGAGAGAAGGAGGAACAACAGAATACACTGGGGCAGGGAAATCTATTTTACAAGTACTTATCATAGCATCTGAGTTTATCATAGTCACTAGTGATTCTGGCCTCTCAACATGTGTCAGGAGAATGGGGTTAATATATTTTCCTGTCATAAAGAAGGGTAAACTAAGGTGCAAAAAGTCTATGAAAAAGCTGGGAATTTGCAGAATTATGTTTAGTACAACACTGGATTAGGCAATACTATACAGGAGAGGAGGTTCATGGTCATAAATGAAAAGAAAGTGATATTAAGCCTTTGTCTAGACTTTAGAGGAGAAGTTAAACAGCAATGTCAGTCAATTTTGGCTCCACTTCATATCAGATCCACCAACTGTGCTTTGGTCTATGGGTACTGTCTTGACATAGGAATCATAGGAAAGTAAGACTGGAAGGGACCTCACAAGGTCATCTATCCCAGCCCTCTGCTCAACACAGGATTATCCTTGCCTAATCATCTGAGCCAAGTGTCTGTCTAACCTGCTTTTGAAAGTTTCCATGAATAGAGATTCCATAACTTCTCTAGGCAGCCTGTTCCAATTCCTGACCACCCTCAGAGTCAGAAAGTTTCTCCTTATCTCCAACTTAAATGCCCCTGGCTGTAGCTTGAGGCTGTTACAACTAGTCTTGTCCCCTACAGCCACAGATAAAAGCCCATCTCCATCCCCTCTGCAATCATGCTTCAGGTATTTTAAGACTTATCAAATCTTCCCACAGTGTTTTCTTCTACAGAATACATAACCCTAGCTCATTCAGTCTTTCTTCATAAGTCTCGTCTCCCAGACCCCTGATCATTTTTGTTGTTCTGCACTGGACTTTTTCCAAAATATCCACAATATCCTTCTTTTCCAAAATATCCTTCTTGAAGTTTGGAGCCCAAAACTGGACATAGTACTCCAGGTGAGGCCTCAGTAGTGCTGAATACAGCAGAAGAATCACTCCCTTGATTTGCAAGTGACACTGCTGTTAATACAACCCAGCATGCAATACTGCTCCATTAATCCAGGGCTTGCCTGTTTGCTTCATTCTTCTGGACAGGCAAGAAATAAAATGGGCAAGACTCCTGCTCTGAGGCAAGAGGACACTTGCCATAAATCCAGAATTGAACATAGCACCAATTCTCATTTATTTTAAATCTAGTCCAGATTTGAGATGATTGATGTAAAGTGTAACTAAAATCTGTGCAGAATTTTTTGTCAATAAACCAGTATAGCGTATCCATTAAACTGCAGCCCCTATATACTACTGAGGGTAGCAGCACACAAAGACCATCAACAACCACTATACATGGTTCTGAGACACAACTCTTCTTACCTGGTAATAGCAGGCACCTTCTACAGTAAAAGGGATGCCATGTTTTCTTAGCTCTGTGACATTGTGCTTCAAACTCACAGTTAGTTGGGATTTAGGAGACTCTAAGGTAAGTCTCTGAACTGCAAATGTAGCAGTAATCCTTTTACTGCCACCCTGTAGGGCTATAGTACAAGTGCGGTTGGTCGTGACATGGTAATATGTGGCAGTAACGGTGCCATCTCTGGGAAAGCCTATGGAAAATGCCAAAGAAGAACATGAAGCACAATACTGTAAAGGAGAAATAATTTTAAATACTGTTAAATGACAATTGTGTATACAATTTCATAAATAGAGAAACTGAGAGCATTTCAATTTTGTTCATAACAGCAAACTAGCTTTTTCTAACATTACTATATATCAGGGGAGCTACAGCTTTTGCTGAGCATTTACAGCAGGGATTAGTGAGAATGACATCTCTATGGTATTAACATTATTAGCAAGCATAAATTAAGGTATGTTACTTGGATTTGGTACATACTTCTGTATATCAAAGGATCTGCTTTCCTAAATAAAGGAATAAACCCTTCTGATCAACTCTTACATTCCTCATAATCCTTCAGAATCCGTACGTTGAGCTATCTGAGAGAATCCTGATTGCTAGGAGCCACTGCATATTGTACATGCTTCAACCATTCTACTGCTGGAAACTTTCAAAGTAGCCTATTCAAGAGTCAAGGGGCAGGAGCATTCTACCAGTAGGAAGGTACTGAAAACCATATTTTAGAAAAGACTTTCAATGTGTGCAACATCTTAATCTGCAGGTGACTCATTGAAAGGCAATGACGGTCATTCGAGAAATAATTCAGCCTTGTCCCCAGGGAAAACATGTTCTAAAATGCGGCTCAGATGATCCAATTCACATGCATTTATCAGGGAGAATAACGCAGAAAATATAAATAGATCTTTATAAAACAGTTCAGATAAGTCTAACAGACATGCCTCATGTACATTATTTATGTTCTTTTGAATTTTGATAAGAATGGTGCTGAGGTCAAGTTTTACCCTGGTGTATGTGAATACAATGCAACCAGCCTCAAGTTCTCTGGGGTTGCACCCAGTCATATCAAGGTGACACAACAATTTGAGCAAGCCAGAGTTTTCTTCATACCTGCATTTTGTAAAGAGCTGATGTTGTGTGTGAGAGTCCCAGTGAGCCCTCTCTGTTCCTGACTCAGAACATTAGAAACATCTACACAGAGAGCTCTCTCATCCACCTGGAAGCTGGCTAGGCCTCTTTTGATTCCTTGACTGAGCTCCAGGTGTCCTTTCAGCTTTGCCTCTGCTGGGATTGCCTGGCTTCCGTTTTGACTCATGGTGAAAGTGATATTGTGCAGGTTGGTGTTTCCAAACACATTCCTATTCCGGAGATGGAACCAGTACAGAGCTTTGCTGATCATCACACTAATGTTACCTGTGATGGGCAGGAAGAAATGATAACTGCCCTTTGGAAGGGGAAATTCACAGAAGAGAAAAACAGCTCTGACAGGCAATGTACAAACCAACACGCACAGTGAAGAGAGACAGGAATTAAATGCATGTTCATTGGCTTTAATAGATTATGTAGCTTAGTCGCTCTGCTAGTAGAAGTAATTTTAATTTGATTTCCTGAGGCAACTGCTATACAGCAAAAGGCTTTTTATTTACAAAACTGCTTGTGGGTTCAAGGCCCTGAACTGCATAAGACATACCACCCAAGGGGAACTTACAGAGGGAATGTACATAGCCCACAAGCCTCAGTGTACTGTTCTGGTAAAGAGAGTGGATGGGCATGTCCCCATGAGCACAATTTCCCGCAGAGCTGTGCAGGGCCCTACTGTACTCTACAAAACAGCCCAGAACAGAACAAACTCCGCGACCAGCTGGCCCAGCTCTTTGAGGAGAATTGATCTGGGAGGTTTTTTGTTTTTGTTTTTTACCACAAACATCATCAGCAAAAACATTTGTTGTCTCTATCAAAGTAGCTTCAAATGTTTTCATGTTTTTGTCAGAGAATAGTGTTACATTTTAAGACTGAAAACAGTTCAAAATGGTATTTTCAAAATAAAAACACAAATATTTTCAAGCAAAATGGAAACATTTTTAGTAAAAAAAAAAATATTTTATTGAAAAGCCATTTTCAATTAAAAAATGGAAATATCTGTCACTGGGTTTAGATTATAACATAACTTCCCACCCTCCAAAATACTAAGCTTGCATTTTCTGGATTGGGTTAATATTTCTGTTCTAAATGCACTGAGACACCATACCGGGAGATTCATTAAGCTTGTAAAAAGTATAAACTAGCAAATTGCCCGTGATGAGTGACAGGGGGGTGAGGAAGGGCGGGTGGGGATGGAGCACTACCACCCAGTGCCCCGTGATGCTGCCGCTCTGCCTCCGGCCCCGTGGGCCTCCCCCATCCCCCGGTCCTGTCTGTCCACCAGGAGGGTGAGGCATGGCCACCCCTTGGACGTGGCAGTGAGGCCAAAGCAGGGGGGTGAGGCCAGTGCTGTGCCGCCAGCACCCCGCGCTGCCGCTGCCTCCAAGGAGCAGGGTGGGGAAATGAGACCAGCGGTGCTGGCCTTGCCTCCCACTCTGGCCCCTCAGTCTCTGCCGCCACTGCAGTGCTCTCCCATGTGTGTCTGTCTGTGAAGAGCACTCCGATTGGTTGCTTTAGTCAGCACTGCGATTGGTTGCCAAGACAACCAATCAGAGTGCAAATAAAGCGTTATGGACAGACAGACACACTAAGGCTTTTATTCTATTAGAATGAGCAGAAGTTAACTATCCTCTTAAAGCAAAACATGAAAGGAAGAAAGTACCCTCATGAATGTTGTTCTTGCGTTTCAGGGATCCATTAAGAGAAAGAAGCTGGGGTACAGCCTTCCAGGCAGCAACATTGTGTTGCATTTTTCCATTTACAGACATAACAAGACCAACTTTCTGTTCCTTAGCTCCCATGAAGTCCAAACACAACCTGTTTTCATTTAGCTTCATCTGAGAAGATATCAAAAGTCTAAAAATGAGAAGGAAACAAACGACCAATAGTGTCAGTGTTTTACGTCAATCTACCTGTTTGTTAATATAAGGGAAAACTGACTGGTCCATGCTGCATTTGGCTGTCTAGTGCATACTATGCATACTGCATACTAAGTGTATACTTAGGCGTAACAGATCTATGCAGCAAGTTAAAGAGGAGACCTTTGCTTTGCTTACATTTTGGTGAATATAAGCCCTCATAAGTGAGCACCCTTGTTCTCATTTGCTTAGAGCAGATTTTGTGACCTCTCACTAGAAAGAAGTCTAGAGGTTTCCTCAGTAGTTGGAATTGCAAACAAAACTCAAGCAACACCTGCATATGTATCCTCACTTGTACTGGCTGTTGAATCCATTTGGCAAACCCACGCTAACTAACTGCTTAGCACACCCAATGTGCACATACTAGGAGAGGCTGTTTGCATGGGTAGAAGTTAACAAAAGTGAAAGCTTAGCCTGAAATATCTAGAAAGCTTTTGAAGTGGCTTAGTGGGAGTCAATTCTGAAAAAAAAGTCAATTTATTAAACTAGCTAATTATAGCAGCATGATCCAGGAAGTAAAGAATATTAATGGAACTCTTTCTACTTGCCCGTAACTTACGCTGACTTTGGGTAATGGTTTTTACCTCTCTTTGGTGGGAAAGGTTTGAGAACTACTGATAATCATGATGCATCCTTAATACTTAGCCCCTACTCAGGTACAACTCCACTTACAATGAAATTGGATTAAGGCTTGGGCCTTATGCCTTCCAAGAGGAGAATGGGTGGCCCAATGGTTAGCCTATTCTGGCATGCGGGAGTCTTCAGTTCAATTACATGCACTGCCTCAGGCTTCCTGTGCTATCTTGGGCAAGGCACTTAGTCTGCCTTTGTGTAATATGGGAACCATAGCATTTCCCTAGGGCTATTAAATACATTCATGATTGTGAGGTTCTTGGAAGCTGCAGTAATGGAATCCAAAGCCAAATATAACTGCTTTGTCCTAATAGCTGAGAACATGGAAAAACTGGCTATTTTTAAGGAAAAACTCACGTAAATATGCATCATTCCATCATATGCTTTACTAGCAGATCACTGAAAATGATGGGAAAAAAACTAAACAAATCATAAACTTCCATTACAGAGGAGATGCAGAAAACTCTTCAATTACATAAACATAAGTAGCTAAATAAATGTAAAAATGTTATTTTAAAATAAGCAAATATTTATTTTTAACTGGAATAAGTGACAGTTTCTAGCTGGTAACCACAAAGTGCTTCTTAACAGCAACAGGCTAGGCTAGTATTTGGATGAAAGCCCGCTAGGAAAAAACCCAACTGTTGTTGTAGTCGTCAGAGCAATTCAGCAAGCAGGAGCAGTGGCCCCAGGCATAGTGGTGGAGATTTTGAGCCTGATTCTAATCCTATTTACAGTATATCATGAAAATGAGATAATACCACTGATTTCAGTGGAGTTGCACCAGGGTAAGCAAAATCACTTCCCTTTGGATAAAATGCAAAACAAACTTTAAAAATCCTGTGGCACTTTTCACAAGCTTTGAGTTTCCAAATTCAATTCATAGATGCTAGGGTGGGAAGGGACCTCAATAGATCATCAAGTCCGACCCCCTGCATAGGCAGGAAAGAGT